CCAATATGATGGTCGCCAGAATCGGGTTTCAGAAATATCTGGACTGCTTGAAACAATAGCCAGCAGGCAAAGTCTGAGAGGGGAACACCTGGAAGTAGAAATTAAGTGTATGAAGAAATGAACTATGGAGGAAAATACCAAAAGAATTATCTAAAGGGATGAAAGTGGTCTTCTCTACGGGGTTTGGGGTGGGAAGATTGCTGACTGTTGTAATGAACCTAATGTGAAGTTCTGCTCTTAGCTTCAGATAATCCACGATACATACAAGACAGGGCAGAAGCCTAAGCACAGCCTATGGGAGAAAGCCTGGGTGACATTTCATTGACAAGAAGGAGTGTGCTAAGCATTGATAATTTGATGAGGTTACAAAGAACAGACAATTTGATGACAATGTTAATAGAAATAATAGATTCTTGTATATCCTATACAAGAAAGCTCTTAGTCCCTCTATGATCTACACTGGTTAGGCCATATAGTGTATTTATTTCTGCACATGACACTTCATTTCCTGACTCAACACTCTGGCTATGAAAAATTAGAACAAATGCAAGGGAGAGTGACTTGGATGGCTGGAAGATTTCAGAAACTTGTCTTAAGAATACAGGTGAGGAAGCAACCCAAGTGTCCATCAGTAGATGAGTGGACAAAGAAGATGTGGTACATATACACAATGGAATATTATTCAGCTATAAGAAGAAAACAAATCCTACCATTTGCAGCAACATGGATGGAGCTAGAGGGTATTATGCTCAGTGAAATAAGCCAGGTGGAGAAAGACAAGTACCAAATGATTTCACTCATGTGTGGAGTATAAGAACAAAGCAAAAACTAAAGGAACAAAACAGCAGCAGACTCACAGAACCCAAGAATGGACTAATAGTTACCAAAGGGAAAGGGACTGGAGAGGATGGGAGGGAAGGGAGGAATAAGGGCAAAAGGGGGCATTATGATTAGCACACATCATGTAGGGGTCGGGGGACAGGGAAGGTAGTATAGCACAGAGAAGACAGGTAGTGATTCTATAGCATCTTACTTTGCTGATGGACAGTGTCTGTAATGGGGAATGTGGTGGGGATTTGAAAATGGGGGAATCTAGTAACCACAATATTGCTCATGTAATTATATATTAATGATACCAAAGTAAACAAAAAAAAAAAAAAGAATACAGTTGAAAGTTGGGGCCACAAATACTGGAAAGAGAAACTAGAGAAACTGTTGATGGGGCTGTGAGAGCAGCCTCAGGGATTTGAAAGGCTATCGTGGGAGTATGGATTTAACTACTTCTGGGCAACTTGAGGTCCAGCAGATGAGAATTGCGGGAAGACCAGTTGTGCTCTTTAGAAGGAAGATGGCCCTGCCAGCGCCTCCCTCAGCAGAACAATGGCCTCGGGGGATTTTTTTTTATATAAAACTAAACATTTTTTTAAATTGAAGTACAGTTTCATATAACACAGTGGTTCACCAGTTATATACATCATTAAATCCTCACCCCAACTAGTGCAATTATTATCTGTCAACATAGAAAGATGTTACAGAACCATTGAGTATATTCTCCATGGTGCATTTCCAGTCCCATGACCAACTTATATTATGATTGAGATTTTTGTGCCCCTTTATCCCCCTCACCCATCCCAGCTATCCCAACCCCTCACCCATAGTAACCACCAGTTATTTCTCAGTGTCTATGAGAATACTGCTGTTTTGTTCATTTGGTTTTATTATGTTTTCATATTCCACAAATAAATGAAATCATATGGTATTTGTCTTTCTCTGCCTGGCTTATATCACTTAGCATAATGCCCTCTAGGTCCTTCCATGTTGTTGCAAAATGCAGGATTTCTTTCTTTTTTATGGCTGAATAATATTCCATTGCAAGGACCTCTGCTCAGAAGGGGGGACTGACTTGACCAGAAAGGGTTGGATTCTAGACCCAGAGAAAAGACAAGTAAGTCTCTATTAAGCTATCAACATGCTTACAGGAGAAGCAGGTAAACTTCCAGAGACAGCAGCTAACATCCTGTTAGTGCATTCCAGAAAGGTTTTGAGTACCTACTACATCCCAGGTGCTGTAAGATGCTTCACATGGGTCATCTCATTTAATCCTTATAAAAAAAGGATATTGTTATTTATTATCATCAAGAGGGTACTGAGTCTTAAGAGAGAGATTAAGTCATTTGCCCAAGGTCATACAGGGCTCAAACCCAGAACCTGTACTATTAGCCATTCTGCCTCCTAAAGCAATAGTTCATTCTTCATCCCCTGGCCGCACATCCCTAGCAGTATGCTGTGGGTGTGGGCTGTGCTTTCCTGAGAACCTTCTCTCTTCCAACCCCACCCTGAAGCTCTGTCTTCCCCTCCACTGGGAACTCAGGGAGAAAACAGCCCAGCTGAAAAATTAGGCCACGCTGGCAAGCACACTACTTATTTTTTTATGACTAAGATTAAGCTGACAACCATGCAAAACATTGCAAACCTGTGTCAGCTGCAGATTTAATACCTCACCAGCCCACACAAATAATTCATGCTTCTGCATCGATGTCCAGAAAAAACAAATCAGCAAAAAGCTGGGCTCCTGTGTATGTGTGGAGCAGCCGCATTTCCATTGAAGCAGCATGCCGGAAATACCCAAGCTCCAGGACTGCAGATCTAGCATTTTGCAATTTTTTTTTCCTCTTAAAAGATTAAAGTACGTTTTCCAATGATTGAAAGTTGGTGGGAGGTGTAAATGTAGGCACTTGTCACATTAATTCTTCAGATGATTAAGTTCTTTTCCATTTCTTTAAAGCTTTTTGCAGTTGGGTTTGATGTCCTCTTTCCGGGTGAGTGTGTTGTAGCTGTTACCAAGGTGACTTTAACTGACTTTCAACAATTTATTTTTCCCTCCAGCTTGAGATGTCTCTAGCCTTGTATGCTGTTGATTCTTCTCTCCCAGCCCCCCACCCCCTCCCCAGTTGCTATTCATCAGCACTTTTGGCTGGCCAGAGAGGCAGGGATCCTCTAGCAGGCCCTGCAGGCTCAGAGGCCCTGCCTGGCAGCTAGGCCTTGGCCCCTTGCCTGAGCGTGGTGGTATGTCTCGGTGCAGAACTCTTGCAGAGATGGCACAGGGAAGTGATTGTAAAAGTCAACACCCTGGTTTTTCCACCTAAACTCACTCTGTGACCTTAGGGTTATTACCTCACCTCTCTGAGCTTCAGTGTCCTACTCTGTGGGAAAAAAAAAAAAAAAGGGTTAAATTAGAGTCTGCCTGTGATGCTTGCTTTGAGCATGGACTTAATACTCTGCAACAGAGTAAGGGCTCACCAGAGGGCTGTGGTCTTTTCTGAGTTCTGCTCTTATCTGGACCCTGAGGGCACCTACCTGCTGAGAAATGGAGTTTGGGGTTACCCTCTTCGGAAGGGAGGTAGAGAAACTGGGATATAAGGAAAAGAGAGGTAGTCAGAAGAGGTCCTAGGCTCTGTGGCCCTGGATGCAGTACCGGCTCTCTTTTGTTAAGGAAAGAAGTAGATTAAACAACCTCAGAGTTTTCTTCCAGTTCTGAAATTCCCTGACCCTCTTGGCTACAGCATTTGTCTTCTTCACAGGTCTTATGAAAGGGTTTGTCAGAGGAGAAGCTAGGGTGAGGGGCAGTTACAGAATTGGCTTTGGGGAACCAGAGGAAAGGACCACTTGTGAAAGAGCAGTTACATCTGGGGCTAGATCCATCCAGCTGGTGGGAATTGGTCCCCATTACCTTAGGAGCTTTTATAAACCACTGCCCCAGCAGGGCCCTGTGCTGTTGATGTCACCCTCCATTCTTTTGCCTGCTGACCAGGGAGCTTCTTAGCCTGTTGGGGTGTCTCATTGGCCACAGGCCCCAGTACTCATCCCCCCAGTATGTGAGAAAGTTAGGCCTCCCCTTCACTGGTTGTCCGACCTTCAAGCCTAGACATCCTGGGTGGTTTCTGTCACTTGATAAGTAATAAGAGCATCTCACCCAGTGTTTTGATGGACACTTGGAGAATTGTTCTAAGATTCACAGCCCAAACCAGGATCCGGCCTTTTGAATGGGATCAATGGGTAACCCTTATTTCTGGCTGATGCAGATTTGAGAGGCTGTCAGTGGAAGTAGCTGAATTTCAAAGAGTGTATCTTAGTTTGCAAAGAGACCTGTGACCCAGCTGTAGAACTAACTGTTAGGGAGAAGTAGGACAGGAGGGAATGTGAGGCAGCAGTGACAGCTCACTGTGGCCAAGGCCACAGTCAAGAAAAATCTGATATAGGGCTCCTAGAGCCATGAGGCCCAGCAGGATGATAGCCTGGTTCTGCTACCCAGCCAAGGCACACTCACTGGTCTGACTCCTGAGAGCCTGGCTTCTATCCCCTCAATGAGGATTGTATTATTTCCTCTTTAGTTGAAGGATGTATATGTCACTGTAGCTCCTGGGCATTAGCTGGAGTGTGCATACTCAGAGCCTGCCTTGATGTCACTACCTTTTCAAGGTCAACTGGAAGGAAGCTCTCGGAGATGTACTTCCTGGGACTTTAACACTCCAGCCTTAAAGAATTTGGCATCTGAGACTCCAGGGCAGCAGAAAAAGGGTTCCCAGGAGATACTGCTGCTATCATAGGGAAGAATGAGCCACTGTAACATAAACTTTTTTATAGTGTGTTGGCCAAAGATGAGGCTTTAGAACCAGAAAGACCTGCTACCCAATTCCAGCTCCAGGCTCCCCAGCCATGACCTGGACAAGCGACTTAACATCCCTGATCCCTGTTCCTTATCTGTAAAAGGGCTGTAATAATAGTACCCACCTCATGGGAGCGTTGTGAGGAGTAGTTCATCAGTGAGAAATGCTTTGCATAGCCCCAGCACTTGGCAAGTACATAGTGAATAGTGGCTGTTACCCATTATCAGTAATCACTGTCATTGTCATTCAAGAGCCCAGACTGAGAGACTCTCATCTTGCTTCTCCCTGTGGTTTTTGCCTTGTGCTGAACCTATTCCTATGCTTGCTTCATAGGAGCCGCAAAGACAGTCTGGAAAGCGACAGTTCCACAGCCATTATTCCCCATGAGCTGATCCGCACGAGGCAGCTCGAGAGTGTACATCTGAAATTCAACCAGGAGTCAGGAGCCCTCATTCCTCTCTGCCTAAGGTGAGCCCCACAGCACACAACTTGGTCTCAAGGAACCACGAGGCCTATGCTTGCCATCTCCCCACAACCTAGGAGGAGTCTGGGGCCACAGGAAGGAGGAGAACCAGTTAGGCAGCTGCATCTTGGGCTTGTGGGGGAGCCTGTGGATTCTGAACCAGCCAGCAATCCCCACTGTGCTGAAGATCTCTCCTTTGTCCAGAAAAGTGGCCCTCATCCCTTCTCCCTTAGGAAGGTTCAGTGATGTAGGGTGTCTCAGATCCCCTGCCATCCCACAATCCCGCCTCAGGGTGGCAGGGTCCCCAATAGCACTGGGTCACAGGGCAGGGGCTTTTGTGGGTTGGGCTGTATTTTTTCCTGCTCACTGCTTTTCCCATGCAAAACTCAGCTCTCCAAACCCAGTGGCCAGTACAGCAGACTCCTTGAGGGACCAAGAAGCCCAGCTGTGTCCCTTCTGCTGCTGTCCACCATGCCAAAAACCCAGCCCTGTGGCCAGAATTCAGCTCTGTGCTTGGGGAGGCTGCACTGGGCTGAATCTGCAGCAGCTGGCTTCTTCCACGGTCCTCAGGGGCTCCACCCTCACTCTTGTAGCAAGAGAAGCAACAAGAATAACTCTAAACTCAGACAGCAGTGACAAGAAAGAAGAGGGTTACACTGGTCTGGATCTTCCACACTGTCTCCAAAGCCTGAGGAAGGAGCTTGGATGGTAACAAGTCTTGGCCAGCCACCCTGGGCAGTAGGGCAAAAATAGCAAGTGGTCAGAGTGAGGTGGGGCTGGCAGGGCCCTCTACAAGGACCCCAGCCATTTCCTCACGAGCTGCCTCTCAGGCCCAAGCTCAGGGCCTTTAGACTGGTGAAGGGTTAATACGAGGTGACCTGAGAAAGCAGAGGGCAGGGTTTTTGCCTCCTTTGCTGACTGGCATCTCTGTCTCACTGGTTGCCCCTGCCTGCCCTTCCTCCAGGTGTTATCCAGACTGGGGATTAGCAGTAACTTCTTCTGGCTCCTTCAGAGTGACCCCACTTGGTTTCAGCCTTTTTAATGGGCTGTGGCCTCAGGGCTAGCCATTCATCTTGAGGGAGAGCCCAGAAACAGGTTGAAGATTCTGTCCTGGACCCAGGGGTTGTGTTGTGAGGGCAGTACACCATCATCCCAGGGGCTCAGGAAATTTGTTTAGGTACTGTTGCACCTCCAAACAGTGGGGACCCTCCAAACAAAGGGGAACATGACCCCTGTCTTAGCTCTGGACATGACCTTGGGCGCATCGCTAACTGCCCTCTCTGGGCCTCAGTTTCCTCCCCAGGACATGAAGGAGGAGGATTCTACTACCCCTGAAGGCCCTTTGAATGCTGATCTAGTGTCTCTGCTAGCTTTGAGAACTCTGGAAGAATGGCAGTAGAGAACTCCTCAGAGGCTTCTTTTGGAAGGTGTTGAAACAAATATATTTGGTTACAGTCCCCTGTTAGTGGGCAGGTGGACAGTCAGAAGGGCATTTGCCACTACCCTCTCCTAGGAGCATAGCCCTCACAGTCCCCCAGCCATGGCCAGACCTGCTGCTCACTGTCTCCATGTTCCCACCCCCAGGGGCAGGCTCCTGCATGGACGGCACTTTACATATAAAAGTATCACAGGTGACATGGCCATCACATTCGTCTCCACGGGAGTGGAAGGTGCCTTTGCCACCGAGGAGCACCCTTACGCAGCGCATGGACCCTGGTTACAAGTGAGCAGGCTCTTTTTCTCCTCCCTGTCTTCTTTTCATGGGCTCTTCCCCCTGACTGGTGGTGAGAAGCCTTGTGGTGTGTGGATGCTGCTGCCTGTCCCATCAGCTCCAGGACCACTCCATGGTCTCTCCCCCATCAACTGATACACCAGTGATAACTCTGCAGGCCCTCAACATTGGTAGCTCTGTTTGTCATGGGAATCCAGGGTTTGAGGGATATGAGACTTTCTTGATTTACCCTGGGTAAATCAAGGTGCAGGAAACTGAGTGAAGCAGGATGGGAGGCAGTGTGGAAGCCACTCTTGAGTGGCTATGTGGAATTCCCCCTGAGTTCCTAGAAAGTTGGCATGTGGACCTGGACCTGTGGCTGGGATGAGCAGCCTCAGCAGACAGAGCCTTCCTGCTCCTCTCGTCTAACGGCTGTCCCAATCCTCCTGATGGAAAGCCAGCTTTTCTGTGCAGAAACCTACTGGCTTGTCCAGAACACTTTGTCCTTCCTTTGCCCTTCTGGCTGGAACATAGCTTATCCTCCTGATGGAAAGCCAGCTTTTCTGTGCAGAAACCTACTGGCTTGTCCAGAACACTTTGTCCTTCCTTTGCCCTTCTGGCTGGAACATAGCTTCAGAGCCACTGCCAAGCTGGGTGCTGGGGCCTGAGAGCCATGGGCCTCTTTCCTGCCCCCACCCAGTCCCAGGTTTCTAATGGGTACTTGGCGTGGTCGAGCATACTCCCAGATGTATTAGAAAAACAACATCCATTTTTGTTTGTTGGGGGTATGGGAGAAGGAGCACTCTACCTTACCTCTCTCAGGAGTATCAAGAAAGGAAATCTGACCCTAATCCAAAAGGTGACCATGCCTTGTTTGTGGTGTTGTATGGGGTGAGGAACAGGAGGGATTACAGCAGAGGGGAAGAAAATGATGCTGGTTTTGTGAGTTTAACTCAGTCTGGGGGTTCTGTGAAGCGTATATACTGTTAATGTGGGTATCCTTTTTGTCTGTGTGTATGTGTGAGTTGCAATTGAATTTCTCCTCCTTTGGGCCAGTTTCCCCCTCTCCCTACTCACAGAAATACTAACCCTTAATTAAAACAAACATCAATCAAAGGACACCAACCACATTCTCCAGACTAAGCAGAGGTAGAAATGGAAGCTAGTGCTTTAAGAATATTGTGTTCCATAAATTATCTTGCCTTTTTCCACTGTTGTTATTACATTGTTTCATAACAAAATTACTTTGAACCATAAAGTTATAAATACATTTTAAAAGTCTCACTTGGTAACATTAGATTTCTGTCCATGTGGTGTTGGTAGTTATTGTAACAAAAGCTCTGAAGTGTAACATTTGAAATTAGCCCAGCACAAGTGGAAAGGGCTACCCCTTACCCCCATGTCCCAGGCGGCCAGGCTGCCTCTGTGGAGAGCAGGAAGGGGGCAGACCTCTTGCTCAGGCAGAGCCACCAGGGAGCAGGAGGAGGGGCCATGCAGGAGAACCCTGCTCAGGGGAGTTCACAGATCACCCTTCCCAGCAGGTGACAGTGTGCTCACAGATCAGCATGAGTGTCCTCAGATAGCATTTGTGTGTATTGATGCTTCAAGCACGTTTTCTTGGGAAAGAAGTGACTGGGACCCCAAATTCAAGAAGAAATTCTCCTCAGTTACATTTTATATCCTCAACTCTGAACCTGTTCTTGAAGTCCTGCTGTTCCCCCTGGAACATCTTGCCCTGAGGAGGAAGGTGGTGCACATCTCCAGTTCTCAGCAGCCAGGGACCTTGGTACCCACAGGACTCAGCAGATGTCATGTTGCCCCTCAGTCCCCCTGAAGTTCTGGATCCAGCCCCAGCCCTCAAGTCCCTTATCCCCTGGCCCCTGGCATTCCACTCCCAGCTCCACTCTCCCTTGCCTCGCTGGCAGCCCCTCAGTGAGCTTGAGCACACTGCTGCTCCCCCACAGCTGACTCCCAGCCCACGGTCCCCTCCCATGTGCTGTTGCCCAGGGAACCGGGAGCGGTGGGAACCAGCCACTGGCCTCAGCATGTCTCACTAAAGTTGCTGTGCTGGGAGCTGCTTAATCAAAGGCCTATGTATGGACTCATTAGTGTGGTCCACCACAAGGGCCAGCTCACAGGGGAGCTCCTAGGAAGGCTGGCTGGGGCCCCACTCCTCAAGCACACACCCTCACTCACCAAGGGGTTTCTCAGGTCCTTTCCAGGGAGCCCTGGGAACCCCTCTGCCCCTGCTCTAGAGGGTCCTCAGCTGTGGAGCCAACAAATTACCAGCCCTCTGCACCTCCAAGGCAGTCAGCATTTTTTGCATCTGACTGCCAGCCCACTTTCTCCTTCAGGGTCTTGCCACTGTGGTTACAGGCAGCTCCCTAGCTTGTGGGAACCTGGGCTTGTAATTACTTGTGGGCCTCTGGGGCTCCCTCTAGGGGTAGCTGTCTCCCAGGAAGTTTGCAGGACCTCCTAGAGGCCTAGGGTTAGGCTCACTCCAGTGAAGGCCCACTCCACTGGGCCAAGTAGGGCCCCAGGCCCCTCTGGAGGGAGATGCCAACACGGACACACCTGCCCTGACCCCCCTACAGGAAATCTTTTGCTCATGCTCCTAGGATTGGAGGTGTCTCCTTGGCCTCTGTATGCCTAGGCCTATTGGGAGCAGAGAAGAAGGAAGGAGCTGAATGTAGCAGACCCAGGACTAGAAAAGACTAGGTTTCTGTTTTCTTGGCTGCTTCTTGAATGCTCCTTGTTGGTCCTGGCAGAATGGGGAGGGGCTGGGATGACTTTCTTGCATCAGCCTTCAACAGCCTTGGAAGCCCTCACTCCCAGCCTTGGCACCTTGTTCTGGCTGCCAGCCCAGGCCTGGTATCTCTTGGGGAAAGGCATGGCATAGATGTTCTGCATGGGGGAAGAGTTGCAAAGGAGAGGCTGAGAGAGAAAGGCAGAATGTAAGAGAATCTGGGCCTTTCTGTAGCTTATGGAGTGGCCCCAGACAGGCCTTCACACCCACTTCCTCCTGGGCCTGCATCTATCTGCCTTCCATACTCCTTGTCTTCCCCCATCTTTGCAGCCCCAGGACAGTCAAGGCCCCAGCACACAGAAAGGCAGGGCCTTCTGCAACCCCTGGGTGAGCAGAGTGGACGCTCCCTGCTTCCTGGAGGAGCTGGAGAGGCAGGAATCTACTCTAATTCCCTAGTCTTCTCCGTTTCGGGAGGTTGGCACCTTTAACTCCATCTGCCCTACCACCTGCTCTTTTTCATCCACATTGAGATTGCACAGCTTATCAGCCAACTCTGGAGCTTTGCTGGAGGGTCTTCAGACCCTGGGGAAAGCCTGCTATGTCCCCTTCTGTACACCTTCCCCCAACATTCCTCATCCCAGTGGCTTTAACAAGCCTCTCTCCCTTGAGTCTGTCAACACGGGGCTGTTAGGCCTCTGAGCAGGAGCCTGGCCCAGAGCTGAATCATTTATCTGTCTCAAGCTAGGGTTGATCTGAAGGGGGAAAGTTAGCTTCAGAGGTCACTTAGGGGTCATATCTCCAAATATGAGAGTATTGTTTTAAGCCCTGCAATGCTTTCTCAGCTGTGTGGTGTCTGACAGCACACCCGAGTGGCACCTTCATTCCCAGCCATTCCCTGCGAGCCCTGATGGGAGACCCAGGCTTGGGAGAAAATGCCCAGCAGCTGTTCTGAGTCAGCTTTGCTGCTCCAGGCCAGGTTTGGGGAATCACCGCTGGGCTCTCCTCCTAGCCCAGTGGTTGACTCACCTCTGTCCTCTGGGCAAGCCCCCGCCTTCTGTCCCTATCCACCTGTTTGGACATTGTATGGAAGACACTTGGCAATCCTTGGCCCACACCCTAGGCAGCTCCTCTTAGAGAATGCTTCTACTATTTCTCTTTCACCAGTGAACATGGCCATAATCTGTTCTCCCTGGAGACCTTTGCTTGGGCTGTTATGGGGACCTCATTGTGCAGGGGTGCACCCATTAGGGTTTAAATCCCAGTACTATGCCTTTTAGGAGAGGATTGTGATGCCTGTCATGCCCTCCCCAGCCAACAGCCAGAGCCAGAGGAGTCTGAGCCTGATCCTGGCCACCAAAGCCAGCCTCTCACCACTCACAGCGAGCAGGAAATGGGTGAGGTCTCACTGTGTCAGTACCGGCCACACAAACCTCTGCCCTCCAGCTGGGGGTGTTCCAGCCATTTTCTCGCTTGTATCTGGCCTGTCGGGGTTGGGGGCACACAGACTGGACTGCTTCCTCATCCCTGCCTCCTCCATTACCATCACAGGTGCCAGAGCAGCTCCTTGGCAGGCCCTACCCTGTAAACAATGCATTTCCTCTTCCGAGAGAAGGAAAGGGAGGGGAAAAAGAAAGCCAAACTTGTTGGGAAGCAAGAACAACATGTCAACACCAAGAGCAAACAAGGCCCCAGACAAAGTGTGGATTGTTGTACCAAGGGGAAGGAGTGGGCATTGTCAGTGCTCTTTGCAGACTCAGAAATATCATTGACCACAGACTTTTAAATCAGATCTGTAGCAGCTGGGCTCCTGCCTGCAGCCCAGCCCAGCCTGCCCAGGGTAGGCACTGATGAAGGTCACTTTTCAGGTTCCTTCTGGAACTTTCTGGGGCCTGGGGAATTGGGAGACTGTTAACAGTCCTCCGTCATCACCAACCAGCCAGGTTCTCGAAAAATACCTGGTATGAGCACCTTGGAGTAATCTGTTGGCTAGATTCCAAGTCCTCTCCCTGGCCAAAGGGTGGGGGTTAGAAGTGGGAGGTAGGGAGCCACTACTTCTCTCACAGCTCAGCCTACTAGATGGTAGTAGAGCTGCAGCCACCAACTCACCCCTGTTGGTTAGGCCTATGCCCAAAAAAAACCCCTTCACCTGCGAGCCTGAGTCTTTCCTAGCATGCCTTCACCATTGTCTCCTTGGGTGCCTTTTAAAAATGCAGACTTCTTTCCCTTATCCAGGGTTATTCTAATTCAGAAGGTCTGAATGGGGCCTAGTGCCTCCATGTTTTCAAAAGCTTACCAGGGGAGTTTGCCATTCAGATTGGTTGGGGCTTTCCCCTCTCACTAGGGTCCTTCCAAATGCTATTTGTGCACAAACATAAGCATTTTATCCCTGGCTGTTAATGAGTGTAGACATCAGTGGGTGCTATTATTTTCTACTTCTGTTTTCTGGGCTAGAGTAACTGTTACTTTAACATATGTGCTCACCACACTGGTCTGGAAATTTGCCCCACTGTCCCCAGTGGGAAACCATCTTTGGGCATGGTTTGCCTTCCTTTCCAGTTGGCCAACGTGGTTTTTGAGCAGCTGTGTGTCTGTGATGCTTAAGGTTCTAGCCTTCTAGAGCTGAGTAGGTGGCTGGGACATGTGTGGCTGGTTGGGGATGGGATTGCTGGTTTTCCAGGCTATGGGTAGAAACCCGATTTGGCCTCACCTCCCCCATCAGATCAGAGGAGTCAACCCTGATTACATAGGGCTTCTAGAATTGGGGTACCTTCCCCAGATAGGAAAAGAGCATCCTCTACCACCATGAGGTCAGATCAATATTGTTCTAAAGTCCAGGAGACATGGACTGCCATAAGAATTCAGTGAAACAATGCCGATCAAGCACTTAGCCCAGCACCTGGCACATGGAGGAGGCACTGCTCTTGCTACTGGTGGCGTTTTCATCACTACTGTCATTATCATACCTATTCCTGCTATCATCTGTGGCAGTGCTGGGCAGCTCTGTGGGGACCCAGTGAGCTCCAAGAGCCCCAAGCCCCAGAGGTGCACAGGTTTTCCCACACTTACATCACAGCAGGGAATCTGTTACTCTGAGAGCGCTCAGGAGGTGTTCCATCATAGCTGCCCATCTCCAGTGTCCTGTTGATAAAATCTGTTAACATTCTCAGCTCCTGGTCTGAAATATACAAAGAACAGGTCCTGTTTGTTCAATCCAAGCTTCTAAGGTTAAACTCCCAAAGGAAATTAAATTAGGTGCCTGGAGCTATGACAGTCTGCCATGTTTCTTTGCAGGAATGTCATCCTTAATATCACGCAGATTTCATATGTAGTTTTCCCCTTGTATTTCTTTTAAAATAATGTGACATTTCCTGCAGGAACCAGCATATCACCAAAAGTAAAAATGGAGGCACAACTAGGATTTGTCCCCTTTTTTTGTCTTGCAGTCCCCTCCTCCAGCTGAGTATAAAGTGAGTCTACACATAGATGGGACATGCTCAGTAGCTGCTCTGCTAAAAACCACCATAATTACCCTCTCTCCACCACCAATTCCATACCTTTATCAGAAGGACTGGCTTAGAACTGAACTCAGGATTGGTGGGGTTACTTTTGCTGTTGTTGAAAAACAGCTCTTTGGAGTCTTACTGGGTGGCCACGGTTCCTACGAACCCTCCCTGCACCCCATCTCACCCCCTATACTAGTTACTGCCCTGGACCTATCTACCTTTCTGGCAGAAGGTCCCTCCCTCCAAATTGTTTGTGGGTTAGAAATCAGCCCATCCTGGCCAGACTGGAGCCATTATAATATAATTGTGTTTTAGGTATGCTTGTGTTTGTGCTAGCATTTGCAGAAATGGCAACAAGCCCCGGAAATGCTAAAAATATGAATGTGACTTTTGTACTACTCAAGCAGACTGGTGATAACTGGTAGAGAAACTCTTGACGTTTGGGGTAAAAAAAAACCCATGGATTAAGAAGAGGAGCAAGGGCTTAGACTGTGGGGGGATAGGGGTGTAACTGGGAAAGAGTCACTGCTGTCTGTGAGAGGAGTTAGCCAGTCCCACCTTAGGGAGTATGGGGGAAGAACAGGGTGGGAGGGGGCTCCCTAAACTGATTTTGCCTGTCTAAACCTTGTCTCTGTCTTCACTTGAGGCCTGAGGCCTGGGCTCCTCAAACAGAAGCTTGGATGAGATGTGGGCCAGTAGTCAGAGCTGTATTGTTCCCAATGGTGGGCTTGCCGTGTGGGAAGGATATATCCTTTGGTCCCTCATCAACCCAGGGAAGGTGCATGTCCAGGTGGGGAATAGACTGCCTTGCCTGTGTCCCTAGGTCTCCACCCAGGGAATACTGTGGCATTGAACAGACTGATGGGCAGAAATGAGTAGAAGAATGAATAAATGAGTAAATGTCATGGGGGTAAGAGTACAGGATTTGGCAGCAGTATTTCAGGCAGGTACTGACTTGAGAGTTCAGACATGACTGGGATATGGTCTTGTCTCAGCCACTCAAAGCTGTGTGACATGGGCATATTACATAATTTAACAGTGCCTCTAGTTTCCTCATCTATAAGGAGACTGGAGGAGATAAGACACACGGGCAGGTAGCACGGAACCTGGGATGGTGGTGGTTTGCCTGTTCAGTTGGGGTAGTTTTCTCATTCCTTGTTCCCACCTCTATCCCATCAACTTCCTTCCTTTGGAGTCCTCCATCCCGGGAGATCCCTAGTCATTCTGCTTGCTCTTCCCTGCTATTTCGCTTCATCTTAAAAGCTGACTATATTCCAAATGTTGAAACTTCTGTTCTTATCTGAGTGGACAACTCCCAGGGGAAACCCCATGCGTATTTTCTTAAGTTCTTGACCCCCATCCTTCTTGTAGGGGTTTCCCTCAGAGCCCTTCACCTTGGTCTTCACCCTATTGTCATTCTTCCACTGTGCCCTACCCAGAGCATTCAAAGTCTCCTGGAGGAGGCAAAGCAGAGATGGGTAGAGCCATACCCCCAGAGGGCAGAAGGGTCTGGTACAGAGCCCAGGAGGCCCCACGAGCCAGCACAGGGAGGAGAGGGGTAGAGAAAGGGGTCAGACTGGGAAGAAGAAAGCCATCCTCAGCTTGGGCCTGGTATAGTACAGGCCTGGGAAGAGCTTGGCCTGGCTCTTTGGAGCCAGCCTGAGCATGGGAGCCAGTTGGGAAAATAGCCCATCAAGTTGAGAAGGGCCTAACTGCCCTTGGACATTCCCATTGGCCGTGAAAACGTGTTTAGGGGGTGGGGGTGGGGGTTGTGCCAGCCAAATAGTGAGGCCAGGCTGTCCTAGATATCAAAGCAGAGGTGACGAGGCATCAGACTCGAGCAACAAAGCCGGACAGCTGGGAGGTAGCCTGGAGAAGAGGTTTCTCAAAGGAAGTTTTAAAGAACTCAGTGGCTGAATAGGGTGGGCAGGATGGGGGCTTAGGTGCTTCTGGCCTGAGAGAATGTGGATATCATGGGTGGAAACAGGAATCAAGAGTCCCTTTCTCATCTGTAAAATGAGACAGGTTGGTGTACAATCTCCAAATTCTCCAGCACAGACATTCTTGGATGTACCTTCTGGGGCATTTCCAGATTTCAGACAAGGCTTGTATTCCAAATCCAAACACATTCCTTTTGTCCTACCAAGTGGGGGCTGGGGGGACGTGTGAGCCTGGCTGGGCAAGGAGGATGTTGGCAATCACTCTTCTCTGCCCCTCGGCTTTTCTGCTTCCCCTGTACTGCATTGCAATGTGCAGCAGGCCCAGACTGCCCAAACAGGGTATTTTCCCACCCACTTCTATGTCCCTTGTGGACTAGCACTGCCACCCTTCAGTGTCCCCACGGTGCTTCCCCATTGTCCTCTGATGCCCTTCCTTCTCTGCCCCAGTCCCTCTGATACTGCAGACAAGGGGAAGGAGAGAGGGCTGAGGCTGGAATAGGCCTCAAGCACTTCCCTCTGACCCTGGAACAGATCATCGTGGGCTCATCGCTCCTCTATGGCCAGAATGAAGAGTCAAAGCTTGGCAGTTGACAAAAATGCCATACATTTAATTAATTAATTAGTGTTTTAAAAACCTGCCTTGTGCCTTCTTTCCAGATTCTGTTGACTGAAGAGTTTGTAGAGAAAATGTTGGAGGACTTAGAAGACTTGACTTCTCCTGAGGAAGTAAGCCTGTTTGATTCTCTCTGACAGCAGGTTCCAGTCTCTAGGAGCCTGTACATGTGTGTGTGTCTGTCTATCTGTCTCTGAGGTGTGGGGATAGTCTGGAAAGGGGCCCCTGGAGGTGTTAAACAGCTTTATTGCTGTCTTCTCACCACCCTTGCCCTACCCCAGCCATCATTAAGGGCCCCCAGAAATTGTCTGAATTGCCAGCTCCTGAGAGCCTCACTAGAGAGACAGCCAGGGCCTTCAGGCTAGTATGAGTTCTCCCCAGCCCCTACTGTTCTCTGGTGGGTTCTGAACAGAAAGCTTATGCCTGCTGCTGGAGAACATTCCACTGGGGAGTTCTGGTGGGCAGCTCTCACTTCAGGCCACCCAGGAGCCACTCTGCCCCCTCACTTCTCCAGCCATAAGCTTTCCCCTCTTGGTCTGCCTCTTCCCCCACTAGTCCATAGCCAGTGGAGCTGGCAGGCCAGGTGGGAGTTTGTGCCTTCCCTAGCTACTCTGCTGGGGTACAGGAATGGAGCCCACAATCCCCTTTGTTTTTCTTCCTTGTTCCTGGCATCCTCATTTGCACAGACTTACCTCATCCTGGAAAGTCCCTTCCTTGCCCAGCCTCCTACTAAGCAGCACCCCAGTGGGATCTGAGCCTTCCTGGCCTCAATGCCTGGTAGATTAATGGAACATTAGAAAGCTGAGTTCTTCTAGGCTATTTCCTGCCTGTGGCAGAGACAGACACTTCCTTTGCCCTTTCTGCCAGAATATGTTTGGGGGAGAGCTCCTTCACCTCCCAGGGGCCAGGCTTTCAAGCCAAAGGGAGGCCAGGCAGGAGCTAGCTTTCACCCAGAGCTGGAGCTTCCAGCAGCCAGGGATCCCAGGGCAAGGACATGGTGAGCCCCAATGTCTTTGGGGTGGAGGAGAGTACACAGGCAGGACTGTCCTGTCCTGGTCTCCAGGTGGACATGAACAACTCAGAGCCCAAGTTAGCCCCAATAGGATAGTGTCTTCTCTATCTGCTGGGATGTGGCTTGGGAAATTAACTCATTTATATATTCAGAAGTCACCAAAGCACCCAGTCTGTGCCAGCCAATCAACCCCTACAAGTCACCAGGCCCTGAAGCCTGGCTTCCAATTAGTCAGACTAGAGCCAGCTGCCCAGAGCACTTCCGGAGGGGCCATGTCGCACTAGGGTGGCACTGTGCCAGACTGCTGCTTTGAGCTTGGTGTTGAAGAGGTGGGAGGGGGTAGTCCAGGCAGGGGAGGGACAGGAGCCAGGGGCTGCTTAGGAAAGTAGGTCACTAAAAATGACTTTTTTTTTTTTGCTTTCCTGTCCAGAGGCTGTCCCCACACCCTGCCCCATTCTCCACTTTGGTCCTAGCTTGGACAGTCCCCCATCAGAGGGAGGAAGAGGGGGCTAGACAGGAAGTGTCAGACCTGTCCGCTTCCAGCCCCAGCTCTGGGCAGGCTGCAGCCCTAAACCTGCCTGTGCCTTCTTTCCAGATTCTGTTGACTGAAGAGTTTGTAGAGAAAATGTTGGAGGACTTAGAAGACTTGACTTCTCCTGAGGAAGTAAGCCTGTTTGATTCTCTCTGACAGCAGGTTCCAGTCTCTAGGAGCCTGTACACGTGTGTGTGTCTGTCTGTCTGTCTCTGAGGTGTGGGGATAGTCTGGAAAGGGGCCCCTGGAGGTGTTAAACAGCTTTATTGCTGTCTTCTCACCACCCTTGCCCTACCCCAGCCATCATTAAGGGCCCCCAGAAATTGTCTGAATTGCCAGCTCCTGAGAGCCTCACTAGAGAGACAGCCAGGGCCTTCAGGCTAGTATGAGTTCTCCCCAGCCCCTACTGTTCTCTGGTGGGTTCTGAACAGAAAGCTTATGCCTGCTGCTGGAGAACATTCCACTGGGGAGTTCTGGTGGGCAGCTCTCACTTCAGGCCACCCAGGAGCCACTCTGCCCCCTCACTTCTCCAGCCATAAGCTTTCCCCTCTTGGTCTGCCTCTTCCCCCACTAGTCCATAGCCAGTGGAGCTGGCAGGCCAGGTGGGAGTTTGTGCCTTCCCTAGCTACTCTGCTGGGGTACAGGAATGGAGCCCACAATCCCCTTTGTTTTTCTTCCTTGTTCCTGGCATCCTCATTTGCACAGACTTACCTCATCCTGGAAAGTCCCTTCCTTGCCCAGCCTCCTACTAAGCAGCACCCCAGTGGGATCTGAGCCTTCCTGGCCTCAATGCCTGGTAGATTAATGGAACATTAGAAAGCTGAGTTCTTCTAGGCTATTTCCTGCCTGTGGCAGAGACAGACACTTCCTTTGCCCTTTCTGCCAGAATATGTTTGGGGGAGAGCTCCTTCACCTCCCAGGGGCCAGGCTTTCAAGCCAAAGGGAGGCCAGGCAGGAGCTAGCTTTCACCCAGAGCTGGAGCTTCCAGCAGCCAGGGATCCCAGGGCAAGGACATGGTGAGCCCCAATGTCTTTGGGGTGGAGGAGAGTACACAGGCAGGACTGTCCTGTCCTGGTCTCCAGGTGGACATGAACAACTCAGAGCCCAAGTTAGCCCCAATAGGATAGTGTCTTCTCTATCTGCTGGGATGTGGCTTGGGAAATTAACTCATTTATATATTCAGAAGTCACCAAAGCACCCAGTCTGTGCCAGCCAATCAACCCCTACAAGTCACCAGGCCCTGAAGCCTGGCTTCCAATTAGTCAGACTAGAGCCAGCTGCCCAGAGCACTTCCGGAGGGGCCATGTCGCACTAGGGTGGCACTGTGCCAGACTGCTGCTTTGAGCTTGGTGTTGAAGAGGTGGGAGGGGGTAGTCCAGGCAGGGGAGGGACAGGAGCCAGGGGCTGCTTAGGAAAGTAGGTCACTAAAAATGACTTTTTTTTTTTTGCTTTCCTGTCCAGAGGCTGTCCCCACACCCTGCCCCATTCTCCACTTTGGTCCTAGCTTGGACAGTCCCCCATCAGAGGGAGGAAGAGGGGGCTAGACAGGAAGTGTCAGACCTGTCCGCTTCCAGCCCCAGCTCTGGGCAGGCTGCAGCCCCGTTCTTCCTTACTTTCCAGCCTGGCCTGACTTCTTGCCGAGCCCAGGGACAGTGGAAGCCATAAAAAGCAGAACCTGTTTCCAAGTCAGTGAGCATCTATAAGCACCAGCTGACTAGAATACAAAGGGAATAAGATATGTCAGCCTCTTCCCCCTACTCCTGCCAGAAGCTCAAAAAACAAAACTAGACAAATCAGTGATTCCCAGGGTAGGGTAAGAAGACCCTAGGCTTTCCTTGGCCACCACTGGGATCATGCTCAGATTGGTAACACTGGGAAGCAAATAAGAATGAACAGAGGGGAGCAGGATGGGGGTTTGCACCTCCCACAGATACATAGGCCCAAGAAATCACCTCCAGCCACACTCCTCCACAGCTCTTACTGAGACCAAGCTAGGGCCTCCTTCCCTTTGGATCCTTTAGCAGAGGCCACAGAGGGCAGGTTCCAGGGTCCTTCTGCACCACCCTTTGAAAGAAGCCATGGCAGGGACAGGACCACATAGTTCCAGACCTCAAGCCACTTCCCTGTAGCATCTGCACCCTCCCTCTACCCCTCCACCCCATCCACCAGCCCCAGGGCCTCAGGGAGCAGATTCCTTACATGCTTGTGGCCAGAGGCAGACCAAGGAAGTGAGCTGGAGGGAGGTCAGCACAGTGAAGAAAGTTAGAAAACATGCCTCCTCCAACCCAGGTTAATTATTGGCGGTACAAGGGGAAAGAAGGGGTCACCGAACTCCAGCAACTTGACTCCAGCCACCCACCCGGGTCTAGCATTTGCGATTGAAGCCAGGTAACCAGTGGCCTGTCTTGCCTCCAGCACCTGGGGGACAGGGCCGGGGTGAGGGTCCTGATATCTCTCCAGGGAATTGGGGAAGAAGGCAATGGGTGCTGCTGTGTGCACTCTGACTCTATGCTTGCTCCCTCCACAGTTCAAACTTCCCAAAGAGTACAGCTGGCCTGAAAAGAAGCTGAAAGTCTCCATCCTACCTGATGTGGTGTTTGACAGTCCACTGCACTAGCCTGGGCTGGGCCCTGCAGGGGCCAAGGGAGAGCCCAGCTGCTCCCCGATGACTTCCGGTGTAACAACGCGTTAAAGAGATTCCCACAAATAAAAGGACAAGTGTGAGGATGACCACACAGCCACCACACCTGCAGCCCAGTGGGATGCTGTGTGGAGGCCACAGGTTCCCACCTCACCGGCAGTTCAGCGGCCTCACCCCTCAGCTGACCAAGCCCATGGGTCCAGGACCAGGTCTCGCTGGACCATGAGTGGACAAATGCAAACCTTCCCCTCCTGCTGCCACCACAGGTTCTGGTTTGAGATTTGACTCTGGACCTTTGATGTGCCCCTAGGTGGAGACAGGCCTCATTCCTACCTAACTCATCGCCAGGCAGCCCCTCAGGAGGGAGGTGGAGTGGCCATGTGGGCGCACTGCCAGCTCAACTCTGGGAAGCCTTTCCCAGTAGTCAAGCTTCCCTGACCACAGAATAATTCTTCCAATCATGTTTGATTTTCTTCCTCCTTATTTTATTTTGTAGAAACTGGATGGTATTTTATTGTCTTCAAAAATGTCCAGAAGTCATGTATATAATGTTTTTTAAAAAGAACTTTATCCCCAGATGAACTTTCTCATTCTCTCAGACAGGGGCCTGGGGCCATCTCCCCCTGAACTGCTGCCAGAGAAGGTGCCAGTGTTCACCTGCCAGCCCAGGGCCCTGAGGAGCCAACTTCAGAGAGGCTTTTCTTCTCAGCTTGGGCTAGTGGAGCCTAGGGCAGGGTGAGAGCTGAGACACTCCATCAGGCAGCCTTGAGCCCAGTTTAGCTGGAGCCAGGAAGGGGTGCCACTGGTCCCAGGGGCACTGGCCTTGACAAAGCTCAATGACCATCAGGGTCTCAGAGACTTGGTGGCCCCAGCCTCATCTTTCAGGCCTTTTCTACCCAACCAGGCTTGACTGAGAGAGCGAGCGAGGCCCAGCACCTCAACAGACCATCCCAACCTGCCACTTGGGGCCTGGGTCTCCAGCTCTTTGACCACTCCTGTCCCATTTCCTTATTCCTTGAGCCTCCCAGCCTCCAGGCTGCAAGACTCTGGCTTATTAAAAATGGAAAAATCAATTTATCAACATGTTTTCACTTTGATTTGCAAACGCTGCACTCTGCTGCCCTCCCATCCTCCCTGTGTCCTTCCATTTCTCATCTTCATGTCCATTCCTTGCCTTGTCTCCATTCCTGCATCTTGGTCTCTCGCTGGTCTTAGTCCCTTGCCCCAAATATGGATCTCATGGTTTTCCTTCCAGAAGCAACCTATCTTTGGCCCATGGTTTTAGGGTTCCTATAGGTTTATCTCCCTCTTCTGACCTGCAATCAACAAGCCTCTTTCACACCCTCTCACCCCTGACTCTAGGGACTGCTGTTTCAAGATCCCCCTTCAGGCCTTTTCAAAGCAAAGGCCTTTTGTCTGTCAGGGACCTCACAGGACCACGCAGTGCCACTGTCTGCACCCACCACACATATGGACACCACCCCAGTGCCACAGGAGCCCATGTGATGAGAGGTCCAGCCAAAGATCTGCCCTCAAGGATCATGAGGGCAGTAGCTGGGCTCTCCAGGGAGCAGAATTTGGACCTACAAGGGGCAATTAGAGCCTGGCCCCTTCTCTGCACACATTGCCAGGGCTACCTGGTTAACTCCATTACACACAGAGCTTCAAGGTGGATCATACAAGGAATATAAGGAGACAAGCTCCTGGCCCCCCACCAGCAAACATGGACGTTCTCTCAACCTGATGTCAACAGCAGCTGTGCCTTCTGCTCCGAGGACTTATCCAAAAGGGCATTTCCTGACCTTTGCCTACCACAGCATCCTCTGAAGTTCTTGTCTTCTGATGTTTGGTGGCCAGAGAGGTGCCATCAGCTTGCCTTCCTTCTCCCACCCTGACCTGCCTCTCCATAAATTCTTATTTTCTGGGTACCTGCCTCCACCTGTCTGGTTTGGGTGGGGCAAGAAAGGGTATTTTCTGAGCTAAGCTTTGTCATCAGTATGAGAGGCAGGAAGGAAGCAGGTGAGCTCTGAGATGATGAGCCCATGAAGCCAGTGGGCCCTTCCTGCCCCACCATGTCAGGAACCTCCAAGGTCCAGCTGCGGCCAGGCCTCCATCTCCTTTCCCTACAATGCACTGGCTCTGGGGGAGTGGCAGAGTGCCTACCATCTCTCTCCAGACCTTCTCTTGGGTGGTGGTGCCTTCAGGAGGTTTCTTGAGGAGGAGGCTCTCCAATGAGCTTTTGGCTGATGAGAAGGACCCTCACTGAGGACCACGTGAGGCTGACTGTGTAGCATGCCCAGTACAGCGCACCTCACATATAGTAGTTGCTCACTAAATGTACCCCTTCTTTTCCTTCCCGCAGCTCTTTGGGAGTTCTGGCAGTGAGATGGACAGGTAAGAAGCCTCCATCACTAAATCTGCCTGTTCCAGAGGCTTCCCTGAGGCTTGCCCAGTCCTACCCCCTCCCTCTAGGTCACTTCTAGAAGGAAGCCTCTGAGAGGAAGGGGCTCCCTCCCCCATGCTGTGTGTCTGCTACATAAGGCAGACTCCTGTGGCTTCTCCAGTCCACTGTGGGCAGCGAGAGGACCACAGATCCAGCTGCCACTCTGCGGGACTGGAGAGGCTCAGGCACGGTCTCAGGTCTGACCAGGGAGCTGGTGCCTTTTGGAGAAAGTCTAAAGGGCTAGAGTGTTTTTAAAAATAAACACAGGGTCTTGGGACTGGGTTTTGAGATTGAATTGAAAGCAGGGAAAAAACCTGAAGGTCAGTGCCCCTATGGAGCAGACCAGTAGGGGATTCCCTTGACTGTATTTTTTAATCTGGTTGTCTTTCCTCTCTGGCTTCCAGGTCCTCCGTGCCAGGTGAAGTACCTGGGTCCCTGTTACAAATCAGGAACCCTGTAGAGAGAGCTTGCCTTTTGTACAAGTACATGAATGCTGCAATGAGCAGACTTTCGTAAAAATTTTATATTAGTTTCTAATGTCAATGGTGACTCGGTTCCTGGGGGCTGCAGCTAGCCTGGGACTTTTGTAAGAATTTTTGGGTGACTCACTTAGATGTCATTTCCTTCTTGCCCCCTCTTCCTCTGTATAATCTAAGTGCATTAAACATATTTGCAGAAGTGCCTGGGTCTTGTGTTCCTTTCTGGCTGCCTGGATTAGGGGAGCAGAAAGCCTGGGGCCCTTGCAAAGGGGGTGGGTTGAACTCAGCCACTTAGAAGAAAGCAGGATGGGGAAAGGCCCCAAAGACTGCGTGGAAGAGGCACCAAGGAGCAGGATCGTGCTGCTGGTTACTCTTCAGTCATGCAGAAATTACTTTGCAGGGACAGACTCTCTTTCACTGGTCTTGAATTCCTCTAAGGTCAAGGGAATAGGAGCATGAAACATGGTCTTAGGGAAATGAGAGGGAGGGTAAAGACCCTCCGTGCCACTTAATTCCTCTTCTACCCTCCTCTCTTCAAAAACCCCCTTTCTTTGAGAAGGTGGGCCTTCCTCACCTCCAGTTTTGGAGTCCTTGTGCCCCCTTCCAACAAAGGCCAATCCCTCACCAGACATCTAAATTCAATCTCATAACCTAGGGCCTGAAGGCAGGATGGAGGGGCAGCCTCAGAACTGTCACACCCACTGGGTGACAAAGAAGCCAGCCTACCCTTCCTATCGGCTCCTCTGGGCCTGGTCTGGGTGAGGAGGTAGGGAGTCTTCCTCCCCTGGATTGCCCTGGTATGTCTCTCCAATGCCCCTGGGGCAGAAGGCAACATCCTGGTACCTTAGAGACAGGCAAAAGGGGGACTGTATCCAGATAGGGTCCCCAGGACCTGCAGGACTGCTCTGGGCCTCAAATTCTTTCCCTTGTTGCTAGGCCTGGTTGTCTGTTGTAGGGAATAGCACCACCTTTTAACCTGGTCCTCAGGATGGAGCTGTAGTGCCCAGGGGTTTCTGCTGGGGCTGGTGGCAGAAGTCCTAGGAACATCACAAGAGGGAGGGGGTAGGCAGGAGGTGTCAGCTCCTGTGGAGGAACTCTTAGCTCCCCTCCTTGTCCTTTTTGAAAACCAGCTGATTCTGGGGAAACTTTCCCAGGCAGAAGTTAGTACTCTTCCTTCCCTGTGACCTCCTACTGAACTGTGGCTGCCCCTGCAGCAGTGGGGCAGGTCCTGTCTGGAGCCCTCAGCCCCTCTGGCAGTCACAGAAAGGGAGCTGGGAGGCTCTGGAGCCAAGTTGACAACCACAGGGTGGCCCAGGCCACACCTCTTCCCCTTCTCTTTCTCCTTGGGGATTGGGGGTGGGGTGCTTATCTAATCCTCCTCATCTGACCAGTCTAGAAGGGCTCAGGGTCAGAGTAAAGTTCTTGCCCCAGAGAGTAGAGTAGTAAGATCCTGTGTTTAGGTGGTTCTGGACTAGGCTGGGGTTGTTTCTGGGAAGAGAAGGGCTTCTGGGCCTATAGTGGAGACTCCATCCCTAGATTTAGGGAGGGAAGAAATCTGCCATGTGATCTTTAATGTCTCCTCCAAAGGGCCTGTGCATTCCTCCAGGTGTCTGGTCTGCCCCATGAGAATGGAGGATGGTGTGTCAGGGACCCTGGGGAGGGGGGCACAGGCTCCACAGGAGGAGCTATGGAACTAGGGAGCCTGAAGATATGCCAAACTGGCCAGACCAGAAGAAGAATGCAAGCTGAAAGTGACTCAGTCCATCCTGCCAGGCAGCGAGGCAGCTGCAAGCTGCAGATGGAGGAGGGGGGAGGCCAAGGGTGAAGAGAGTGATGAAGAGAGAGCTCCAGAGCAGAAGGGAGATGAGTCCCAAAACTGTAGGGACAGGTAGGATGTGATCCGTGAGGGGCAGCCATCTCCAGGCCCCTTCCGTGGGGACACAGTGTGACTGGCCCAGTCCCCTCCTTTCCTCCTTAGTGCCAGAAAATCTTTGGGAGAGAGTGAAGGTCTGGGTGGGGGGAGGTACAAGTTACCTGCTGGGTGGGTATCCGTGATTTGCGTGAGTATAGCTCTCAGGGCACTTCTAATGGGCTTGTGGTGGGAGTAGGGGCCTTATTGGGGCCAAAGACCTGAGGGCAGCAGGTTCCTTTGTTTTTCCCAATTTCACCCACTGCCACCCCACACCCCATCTGAGAGCACTGAAGGGAGGAAGAATGTGGCTTCTGGGTCACAACCTTTACCAGACAGAGGAAGGCCTGCTGTGCATTTGCTGAATCTCTACAATAACACTGTGGGAACGGTAAGAACTAGAAAATATGTTCATTCACTTGTGCTTTCAAAAAACAACACCCGGCACTCTGCTATGTGCTGGGAGACTGGGCACAGGCCAGGCCTTAAGGAGCCCATAGTTCTGTGGGGGAAAGCGAACAAGGAAACAATGACAAGGAAGGGCCATAAAGAGGAAGGCAGGCAGCCACTTTCTGCCCTACCCCAGCTCCACAACTTACTATCAGTGTGACTTTAGACAGATTTACCAACCTGTGCCTCAGTTTCTTCATCTGCAAGTGGATACTTGCTTCATAGAGATTTTGCAAGGATTGTTACCAGATAATACACACGTGATGCCTGGCACATAGTAACTGCTCAGTTAGCATTAACCCTTTACTAAGACTATGCTAGGGTATGTACCAACACAGAAAAGGTGTCCAACCCAATCTGGAGAATAAAAAAGGCTTCCTACAAGAAGTCCGTCTAAGTCAAAGCCTGAAGGATGCTTAATAATGAAGAGCAAGAAAAGAGGGGCCTTTATTTTCAAAACCTCTCCAGGAAGACAGAACAAGGTCTAAAGTTCCCAACTCTTCTTGGGAACTGTAGAGTTAAAATTGCCTAGAGTAGGAGCAGTAGGGATGGAGAGAATTGATTGAACAAATATCTGTTGAGCCCTAGTATGTGCTAGCTTTCATTCTAGGCACCAGAGATACAGCATTAAAGGAAATCCTTTCAAAAATTTTTAGTGATGGGAGGTAAATAATACTTTTTAAAAGTAGACTATGTAGTATGGGGAGATATGTGCTATGGAGAAAAAGCAGATGAGAGATAGGGCTGGGGGAGGGGTGCATTTTAAAATACAGAGGTCAGGGAAGGCCTCGCTGCA